GTGGTGCTTGACATCTTTTAGCTACATCTTTTAGCTTCCATCAACATTGCAAAACAATCAACCTGTTCGTTTTCTAACCAACCCTCCTTGAGGAGTCCATCTAGATAACGTCGTGTTAACGACACATGTCCCGTAAATCATCTCTGCATTTCAAACATATGAATGTTGCATTAAATCTATATGAAAGTAGAACATCTAAAACAATTTAAAAACATAGCACACTGACAAATCGGTGAGTTTGCTACAGCAAAGGTCGATTGCTTTCCGCATATAATTCAGAATTTGTTCTAGCAGAAAAATCAACCACAAGTGATGCTGGACAAACCTATAAAATAAGGAAATAATATTGTATAGTTTAAATATTAAAATTCTTTATACAAACTCATAAAGAAAAAAATTTATACCTTATCAGGATAATTTTCATCAACATAATGTGTTTCCACATGTTCCTGATCCTCCTCTTTCTCCTCAAATTCTATCTCCTCCTTATTATCTACAATTGGTTGATTCACTATAATGTCATCGTTTATAGTAGGCTCTAAAGCTATTGATTCTCCTTTATTTACATCCTCAGCCTCTTCTCTAACAGATTAATAGACGACGAATGATACGATTGGTCTGTTTCACCCTTATTGACACCTCCAACCTATTAATTAATAGATGATGTTAATAATATTAGTAAAAGAAGATTTGAATTTGATCATGAGTTTTAAATGCATGTACCTCTTCACGCTCCTTAGTAACTGTTTGTGCTAGTTTACTTTTCTTTTTTTGTTCAAATACCATGTAGGAGGAACTGAGTTGTTGTTTCCTTCTATCCTCTCTTACTTTAATCCTTCGAATTAAGCTACCTAGTGGGGACGCTGTGGCCCGTTTCAATGATAATTTCCTACCAGGTTGTTTTATTGTTTTATGTAAATCTACAACTTCAGTTTTTAATTCTGTAATTGTATTCTCTATATTTGTAAAACGATTGTCAATTGTGCATTTAAAGTCTATGAACAATTTATGATGATCTCTAAGCAGTGCATGTATTTCTTGAAGAC